AACAGTCATAAATAAATATGAAAAAGTGCAGATTCCAACACAGTCTCATGGCAATGCGTAACTATATATTTACATTTACATCTACATTCATGCAGAGTTGGTGGCTAATTTGTAATTTTTTGTACGATCTGCTTATGCCCCATTGAGGTTAGGGTTAGGGTGTACCTTCATGCTACTTATTTTCTAAAAATCATACATTTTCATATGAATCACATGATCACATGTGTGATATCTTGGTAAAAATTACAGCTTATTAATAAGCAGAGACACCAAGTAGCTAATGCATTCATATTGATGCCACTTTCAAAACATTGCTACCATATACATCCAATGGCACAATTTTGGGGTGAGATTAATTGCTTTTGGTTGAAAACAGTCATCATTTTTGCTATTACATTTGGTGTCACTGGTGGCGCAGTAATTACCCTTTTCACCTTTATGGTAACATATAAGGTAACCTGTTTGCCAGTTATTGTTCTACTAGTAGAGTTACACTATATTCAAGTAGTCCTGCAGGCATGATGTGTTTTTGTAGGTCAAACCTGGAAAAAGTTAGCATTTTAGCACCTCCAGTTCCATCGTCCTGAAGTCAATTTGTTTTTTTTTTAATGGGTTTTTGGTTAAATGCCTGAAGTGGTGAACACAAGCCTAAGATATTGTCACGTTTTATTCTATGGCATAAAATGCATCAGTAAAACCCTTAGCGTTTTTAATGCTTTTGCTTGTCTTGATAAAGGCGGTCACTAGCAAGTAACTAAATGGGACTACAGAGGTTGTCTGGGACATTAAATGTCTTCAAACTGAACAGGTAAACTCATCTACTCACTACCCAGTTTCACAGCCTCATTGTGTTTATAATCAAGCTACTGCATACTATTAAAACGCAAACTTTCAGGGAAAATGTCTTAAATAAAATGTTTGGTATGTAATATTGGTGACATGTGACCATGTTTAGCTTTTTACTTCATAATCTCTGCAATAATCCAAAAGCCTGTTGTGTTTTTGTCTAGGGAATGGGTTGGCCTACAAAAATACTTCATCATTGCTGCGCTCTGATCCATACAGCGAACTGTTGCAAGAGTGCCCTTGAGTGGCCTGAAGAGTCTTCACTTAAGTGTTCCAGTAAGAGCATCTTAAAAAAGGGTGTTGAGGTGATTCTGGGGTTGTTTTTTTTATTTTAAGTTCACACCAAAGATTCACGACATGACAAGTAGAAACTTGCAAGTACACTGAACAAAATTATAAATGCAACACTTTTGTTTTTGCCCCCATTTTTCATGAGCTGAACTCAAAGATCTAAGACTTTTTCTATGTACACAAAAGGTGTTTATAATTTTATTCAGTGTATTTACAGAAGAATATGGTCTGCAACATTGTAACCCCAGCTGTCTACACTGCACTGCACCAAAGAAAATGTTACAAAATTGTTGTTGGAAGCAGAGCAATCACATGGATGTGAATAGTGCAGACAGTGGCCGCATCCAAAAGCGGAAAAATACTTCCTCCGCAGGCAACATACTAAGGTGGCAACTGGCAAGACAACAAGGCACATCCAAATCCAATGATTGTGTCACCTTGTCAGCTGTGATACTTCATCTGATCAACCTGAAGGCAGCATTGATGTATCCTTCACTGACTTTGAAATCTCACTATGCTGTGCATTTTCTGTGACAACGATGGCGTCTGAAAGTTGTGTTTGGTGGTCACTTTTTCCACTTTTGATGTCATTTCTAGCAAGAAATTAGCATTGTGGTAATTAAATATTTGCTTAGTTATCACCAAAGCTTTCTCTATTTTGTTGTAGATCACTAAACTTTTATGCTGCCTCAGAAGACTGTCTGAAATCAGTTTGGGAAGGTGCACAAATGCTGCCTGCAAAGTCATTGCCTGATAGGGCAGCAAGGCAACAAGTCAGCTGCATATGCTTTCAGATGCAGCCAGTATAACTGACATTAATGGGTCCTATTTGCGTTGCGAATGGGTCGCGACATTCTTATCTGGTGTAGACAAGGTGTGAAACCTGCCAGTTTACACCAATGCGACTAGACAAGATGGTTTATCATTTCCAAGTAACAACACTTTAATTTAGTGTTAGTTTCGGTAGCCCAAGACACAAAATCCAGACACATATCAAAACTGATATCGCTAAACAAACCAGAAAGTTAAGATAAATCCTTTGGCTTTTTTCCTTGCTCATGTTTTCCATTAGAAATATAATAATAAGAGTGCTTGTGTTTGCTGATATACTGTTCCTTCTGATGAGCTACCTAATTATTTTTTTTTTTTTTAATAATGATAATGAAATTCCAACTGTCCAGTCAAATCAGATGTGTTATTTGTCATTCAATGACACGCTTTTTTAGTGATAGAAGAAGAAGAAACAACATTAAAGGGGTAGTTCACCCAAAAATGAAAATTATTTCATTAATAACTCACCCTCAGGTCGTTCCAAACCCGTAAGACCTCCGTTCATCTTCGGAAAACAAATTAAGATATTTTTGATTAAATCTGAGAGCTACGAGAATAATTTTTGTGTGCAAAGAAAGCAATAATAACATAATTCAGCAATTATTCTCCCCGAGTTACTGTCTTCTGCCATTTTGGAGAGTACCCCAGAACGTAATCAACGTAATGAGCGTTGTTTACGTTCAGCATGTGCACGCTTTCGCTGAACATAATCAGCGTTGTTTACGTTCAGTAGACAGCGCGCGTGTGCTGAACGTTAACAGCGCTCATTACATTGATTACGTTCTGGGGTATTCTAATAAATAATAAATTATGTTATTATTGTTTTCTTTGCGCACAAAAAGTGTTCTCATAGCTTCGTAAAATTACGGTTGAACCTCTGATGTCACATGGAGTATTTTACCGATGTCCTTGCTACGTTTCTGTGCGTTGATCGTGGTAATATCCTTGCTGTCTATGGGAGGGTCAGAATGCATCAAAAATATCTTAATTTGTGTTACTATGATAAACGAAGGTCTTACGGGTTTGGAACGACACGAGGGTGAGTAATTAATGACAGAATTTTCATTTTTGGGTGAACTAACACTTTAATATGGGAAGACAATTTCATGAGAACGGTAAGGGATCTGAATAATGAATAGAGGGTCCAGCGGTCCAGAACCACTGTCTTAAAAGGCAAATATATTACCAGGAAGGTTTGATATGCTAAATTTGGTAAAACATATTAAATATGTAAATAATAATCTATAAATAACCTTGAAATATTTAAAGATCCAATACCTACATTGCTGAAAAGATCAGTGTTTTACTGTGGAGATTCTTATCTGGTCTTTTCATGAAGGTATACACAAATTTTCCCATCATCTGAATTGCTGAAGGCAAGAAAAATTATCATACCAGTAAAAGTAGCACTGTCCTTCATAGGTGCCATCATGCTGTCCATTATCAGCCAACTCCAGTTCTACGCCAAGATGGTATTCGGGAGAGTTTTGTATGTTGCCCAGGTAGCGTAAGGTACCGGTGCTGATCCGTCCAGAGGGTAACATGATTCGGACCCTGTGCCCAATCTTCAAATCCATGGGGGAGTGGGGCACAAACACTCGATGAGATCCCCCTGCACTCCTCCAAGACCTTACACTGAAGAAAGAGGTCATGCAAGCACAAGTATGGTGTTTAGATTGGACATTAAGTTTAAGATTGGAATTTACATTTAACACAAAATGTAACACTTTACTATATTCATATGCAAATAGAAATTATTAAATGATTTATTCATTTTTAAACAACTCTCTGGAATATGTGCTTCTGATTGGTCAGTGCACTGCATTCCACAGTCAGATTTTTCTGTTTGTAACACAGTTCTCTGGAAAACTTTATTGTGACAGCACTTTCCAATGACAGGAGCAGGGCATGCATGAACATGTCCAGCTTAAAACACTATCAGCGATATACCTGATGTTAGACGTGACAGAAGTGGCTCTGGAGTCTGATGGGCACAAGGTTTGACTGCCACCATCTCTGAGCAGTTCCACATCAGGTCCCTTTTGCTGGTGTCTGAGACCACCTGTGGAAAGTTGGACGAGATGATCTCATTTTTTCAAATATATTTAATTTCAATTATGCTCAGACAAGGCAGCCAGTCCACTAAAGGAAGCTCTTACTAGAACATTCATGCTCCTTCTCCGCAGGATTAAGTCCATTCTCCAAGCCAGACTCTAGAAAGACTTCATTTGCTTCTTCTGAATCAGTGTCTCTGTACAGTGTTCCAGACCTTACCAGAATCTCAGAGGTCAGCTGAAAAGATCAAGCAATTAAAATACAAGTTAGAAAGGTTCCACTCAAATCATATCCGTTCCCGCACTGTAAAAAAGTGACTGTATTTATGAGTTAGTCATGAATCATTTGTTCAACCAATTTGATCAAAAACGCTAATCTATTCAGAAATGAAAGAAGTGACGGCCTTTATGATAGAGTCACTGAATCATTCACTCAACTGATTTGTTCAAAAACGCTAATGTACTCAGAAATGAAAGAAGTGATGGCCTTTATGATAGAGTCACTGAATCATTCACTCAACTGATTTGTTAAAAAATGCTAATTTATTCAGAAATGAAAGAAGTGACTGCCTTTATGATAGAGTCACTGAATCATTCACTCAACTATTTGTTCAAAAATGCTAATTTATTCAGAAATGAAAGAAGTGACGGCCTTTATGATAGAGTCACTGAATCATTCACTCAACTGATTTGTTCAAAAACGCTAATTTATTCAGAAATTAAAGAAGTGACGGCCTTTATGATAGAGTCACTGAATCATTCACTCAGCTGATTTGTTCAAAAACGCTAATTTATTCAGAAATGAAACAAGTGACTGTTTTTATGATGACATCACTGAATCATTCACTCAACCAATTGTTCAAAAATGCTGATTCATTCAGAAATTAAACAAGTGTCCAGAAGAAGCAATAGTGTAACAGGTTCATTATAATGAATTAATGAGTTTCATTTTTGAAATATTATTAGACCCGCGGTCTCTTAGATTATGTTGTCTCTTTTACAGCTCCACAAACCGCATCTCCCATGATGCTCTCTGATTTTCAATCTCTATCTTCAGTTCTTGAATCTCCCCCTCAGCCTTTAGCAGTCTCTTGAACAGGCCACTTGTGCGTTCAGGCTTAACACAGTTTTCTGGTTTGACCTTCTTCTCTGAGTCTGCATTTACATCTGTCCTTGCCAGATGCTTGACATCCTGGACAGCTACAGATTTATAAAAGCCTTTAGTATTAATACTTTGGCAAATGCTGATTCTGTTTTGATATGGATAATGGAGTACGCTTAATACGACAGTTCACCCAAAAATGTGAGTAAAAGTGTATTTACTCACTTGTATGTCATTCGAAACCCTTTTTTTCTAATGTTGATATGAAAAATGTCTGAATGTTTTCAGTGGAGTCCAGTGGTCTTTGGAACCCTATTTACTTTCACTGTATTGACAAAAACATAATATCTTTAAACTTCTCTTGTTTTCCTCAGAAGAAAGAAATTCATAAAGGTTTTGTATGACATGAGGGTGTCTAATCAATGACAGATTGTCCATTTTTGGGTCAATTTTCCCTTTAAATCGATAAAAACTCAGATATAAACTGTTTTGCTCTAGTTTAAAAGGCTTCTTATTTTGTAGATTTAAGCAAGTTGCAATGTGATATTGACAGACTATTTCTTATTTCACAAAACTAGCCTGCCATCTATTGGACAGGTATGAACATTACATTTACATTGCAATTGAAAGACAATCAGCAAACGTTGCTTCCTTTGCATAATAATTGATCGATTACTTTTTTTCTGTGATGTTAGGATTTACCTGGGGACAGTTTGGATGGTAATTTATGGTCAGTGTCAGCTGCATGCTGTGTTAATGGTGCAGATTTTAGAGCACAATATGGGCTGACCTATAGTATAAATAAAGAACATTTGATTTGATTTATCAGTGATTTGTGTAGCGATACAGTAAAACTAGAATATTTTGATAGAATGTATTAACATGAAGAGAGCATAATTACCCAGAAAAACCTCCATGTGCACAACAGGCCCTTGAGAGTCCAGACAACTGCTGACCACAGTACAGTAGCCATTTTATGAAGATTTCACATGGTGCTCTATTGCCTGCAATATATAGGTGAAATACAACAGGCCAAGCAGTTCTGTATATTAAGTCTTTAAATTCTGATTGGTTTGGATTTAAGACTCACCACCAGAGTGCCAACCGCTGTGGCTTTGAGAGAAAGAGGAATCTTTTCTTAAAAACATTGAAACAGGTAAATACCTTGACACAATGCCTTGTTGAATGCTTCAATAGCCGAATACAGATCCCTGTTGAACTTCAGTGGCTAGGAATTAACCTGTTGGTTTGTTTCTCTTCATTTGGTTATACAACGGCATGTTCACAGACCAATCTGTTGCTACCAAGCCTGCTGCAGACGCATCGAGAGTCCAGAGACATAATCCTGTTTAATCTCATTAGTGACTGGGTTACATGCTCCTCTTGCGTCCCATCACATACTAATTCTGGTACCTGATCCTATTTTTCCCAAGTAGTGATCAGGGACTAAACACACTCAGATTCCTCTAAAACAAGCCCAATCTAGCAAGATGTTTGTATTTTAGAAAAAGAATTGCCACCATAAGCCCTCAAGTATCCAGTGTTCTAAAATGTCCTTTGCAACAAACTACACAACCATATTGATAATAGATGACTATTCAAAGATGAAATAGAATTCATTAAATAAAATAATCCGTTAACTATTTTTCACAATTATAAGATAACAAAATCCAGAATAGACAAAATATATTTGTCTATATTCTCATAGCCACATAAATTATTTAGATTTCAATGGACATATGAGGTTTTCCTCAATCACATTAACTATGAACATGTTCTACTAAAGGTTGACAACCACTTTAATGCAGTGACATACAAACATTTTTTGAGTCTGGTTGACGTGTTTTTGGGGCAGGTGCTTCAGTCCTGCCACTAGATGGCAGAAGTATTCATTTCCTAATTTTAAACTAAAAATAGTAATGAGCTCAGATATTCACAAGATGTCCAATGTACTTCTTTTTTTTGTTTTGTTCAAATGATGTCTGCACCACAGTTTCCGTTAATAAACAAATACATGGGAATTATGGAATGATAATGGATGTATGGATTAAATATTTGGTGTTCTCAAAGACAAGTTGTTTGTGTTAAGCAGGACCTTTTTGATAATAATAATAATGATAATAATAAGTTATAATTTAAGAAAATATGTAAATATCAGCATATTGCATACTTTTACAAATACACACTGATCTGGTTCAGACAATTAAACTTTACTGATTATAACTATTTAGAAATACCATATTTTGGTATTTTCCAAATTACTTTTGCTGTTGTTGTTGTTGTTTTGTTTGTTTGTTTTTAGAGGAAAAAAAACTAAATTCACGAACTCCACTCATACAGAAAAATAGTTAACCAAAAAAAAAAAGGTGAAAATTTACTCACCCTCAGGCCATCTAGGCCTAGATGGCTTTGTTTCTTCATGGGAACAGATTTGGAGAAATGTAGCATTACATCACTTGCTCACCAATGGATCCTCTGCAGTGAATGGGTGTCATCAAAATATGGCTATAATTCAAAAACCTTTACCTCTGGTCCATAATAATCCATAATAACACTTACTTCTATGAAAAAGTCCATCCCTTGTTGTCCTCTCACATCAAAATCCACCCACATTCTTGTTTTGAAATATTTTGGCTTGTAAACAACTTGTAAACAACTCTTCAAAAAAGGGTTTGAAGTTAAAAACGTCTTAATGATGGATTTGTTTCTTACAAACACGCAGCTTTTGGCTTCACAAGCCATTAAATGATGGACTGCACTGGAGTGGTGTGGATTATTGTGATGTTTTTATCAGCTGTTTGGACTCTCATTCTGATGGCACCCATTCACTGCAGAGGATCCATTGCTGAGCAAGTGATAGAATGCTACAGTTCTCCAAACCTGATGAAGAAAAAACAACTTAGACATCTTCAGTGGCCTGAGGGTTTGTATATTTTCAGAAAATGTTCATTTTTGGGTGAAATATTTCTATAATACAGCCTGTATGTCTGTGCTATTGTTTTCCCACCAAAATTATGTCACTTCTTAATGTCACTTACCAAAACTTTTGACACGGTCAGTCAGAGAAGATTATTCCAGCAAAAGCCTATTGGAAAAGCTCCAGGTGAGATGAAAGCTGCCAAACGTTTTACCGACTGACAGTCATTTCCAAGGATGCAAACTACTCGCCTGCTAGTGATGTTCACATTTTGAATTGAAAATATGTCCGTTACAGTATGTGATTCCTAATGTAATTCATAGTCGTGACTATAAAAAAGTAAAGACAAAAAATGTTACAATGCATTTGAGAGTTTATAACATAATTACAGCCTTCAGTTAATCAAATATTACAGAAGTCTAAAAGGATGGAAAACAATATTAAGGAAAGAAAGAACCTAAATTAATTTTTAGTTTAAAATTAAAAGACAAATAATAAAAACATGATAATTCAGTACAGCATGCTCATATTTTCACATAAAAGGACTGGACATGTAATAAAGGATGGCCTGATGATCCCACTCAGTTATGTTTCATTCAGCATTTCATTGTTACAAATATCTCAGCTTTAGTTTTGTAGCTTGTTTGTCTGAGAGCATTTCATCCATCATTCCAGACACATGGGTTTGTCCATAGTAAAATACAAAATGTGTCGTGATTTAACTTCTGTTTGAACATATCCGATAGCATGTCGCAACGAAAGGCTCATTTTTCATTCAGTGTGAATTCTGATGTTGATCCTGAGCTTTCAAATGAAATTTGAGCTTAAAATGACGGCAACTGATTGTTCTGTGTAAATAGTCAGCTGTGTATTTTTGGATTGTCAGAAGTGGGATGGGTGGAAAATTGTGGCCTGGTGTAAACAGCAGTTTAATGTTACCATAAAAACACAGCCTCTTTAACAGAAACACTGGAGAGTGTTTATCTGTCTTAAAGGCACAGTTCACCCTAAAATGAAAATTCTGTCACCATGTTCCCAATTTTATGGCGTTTCAAACCCACATGATTTTCCTACATTTGTGGAGCACAAAATATGCATTTTTGAAGAATATCCTGGCCACTCTTTTCCATAAAATGAAAATGAATGTGTCTGTCAAGCTCCAAGATTATTAGTAAAGAACTGCATATTTTTAGTCTGTCAGACATGTGCACTTAAAGGGTTAGTTCACTCAAAAATGAAAATTAGCCCATAAATTACTCACCCTCAAGTCATCCTAGGTGTATATGACTTTCTTCTTTCAGACGAATCCAGTCGGAGTTATTAAAAAATATAAAAAATTGTCTTTGATCTTTCAAGCTGTTTAATGCCACTCAGCGGGTGTTGCATGCATCAGTCCAAAAGAAGTTAAATAAAAAGCGCCCATCCATAAAAAAAAAAGTGTCTCACACGGCTCCGGGGGGTGAACAAAGGCCTCCTGTAGCGAATCGATGCGTTTTTGTAAGAAAAATATCCATATTCAAAACGCTTGAATCTAGCTTGCGCTCACTGTTGCACACAGAAGCAGCTCCGGCGGATGACGTATGAGGTCAGCTTTGCGCATGCGCCGCTCAGAAGTGACGCACACGGAAACGCAGGGGAGAGATCAAAACAAAACAACGGTCACTAATTAGAAGTACAAAACGAGGATTTGTAAAGAAGAATGTCGGAGGATTTCGATATAAGCCAAGAGGAGACT